ATGGCATACTATAATTTTCGAAATGAGCTGTTGGTACATGGAAAAGGGGTCAGTCAAGACCGAATTACCCTATGAGCTTTTTCATTGGATAAGCATGGCACGTCGTTAGTTTTCAGATCGTATTGTAATAAGTGACCATTTTCGAATCCAACGGTGACCTAAAAACGTAGTCAATAGTTTGAACAAAAGAAATTAATTGGCTTCTAGCATTTGAGCAAACAAGTCGCACACCGCGTCATCCCCAAACAGTGATTGGAGGGACGTGTTACTGCGATGTCATGAATCAAAACGAGGCCACGAGAAAAAAAAATGTGTACGAAATTTCCAGAAAACTAACTTAGCGAGATTGATGATCAATGCAACTAGAACAAAATAAAGTCTTTTGCTCAAGCCCGATGAGTCTAAGAAAAGTCCACATTACATAAACAAAAACAAAACTGTAACCTACACAATCGGTGGCTCCGCTAAAAACACACATTGTCGCCGAGTTATCAAACTCAAAATGAGTTCGGAACAGAGGACTGTCGGTAGTCATTTGCTGATCATCTCGTGTATCCACTACGCACAACACTGATGGGTTTTTCGTCATCTTCTGAGTGGTGTACGCAAGCAGATGACCTGCAGAAATATTCTCAACATTGTAACTAATGGTTCAGCTGCAATCATATTTCTCCGATTCTACTTTGAAGCTGATTTTTGGCTCTCACTTCACGTCAATAAACCGATCCACCTCCAAAGTGGAGAATTCGAAGCCATCTTCACTAACTCACCCGAAAACGAAATATTTACTGATTTCGCAGGAGTTGGAGTGTTGATCGTGTGTAGCACAACGCCAGTCTCACAGTCCCAGAACTAAAGTTTTAATAAAAGAGCCAAAAGCTGGTACGAAAATGATATAAGCTCAAAAATGGAGTAAACAGAAAATCCCATACCCTAATCGAATTATCTCCAGACGCCGTTCCCAGTCTCGCTGTATCCCACGACACATCAACATCCCAAACCACACCATTATGACCATCATAGGTTCCTTGAAATGCGTACACAAATGAGCGCAATTTTATGGTACAATAGAACGGTCAAAAACACTTGGCGTAACTAGAAATAAAATCATGTCATTCTTTTAATGAACCACTTAGACATATCACAATGGATGTCGTAGAATTTGAAATTACAGAGCGACGTCAGTAGAAGTTATGAAGACCTTGCTGTAAAACTAGGCAGGGTTCTACAGCTCGTCACTGAAGCGCAAGTGTAACAAAAATAACAAACGGCTTTCTTCACTTGTGCAACAAACAGGACGGTCAGGTCCCTACATTGTCTAAGGCGGATTCTCAAAGTTCCTCGATTACCAGAAACTTAAATCACTGTCCTTACATTGATTGCTGTGTTTATCTGCTTATTTTGAGCCCAGAAGACTCGCTTTCGTGCACTAGTGATGGTGAAGCTCAAGATTCTTTATCTTAAATTACACTGTATGAGACAACAAGAAGAAAGTAGCGCAATTGATCAGGAAAAATGAATCCTCGCGGTAAGAGTGGAGGCCCCTATTGCGAAACAAATAGGTTGAATGACCTTGAATCAAATGGAGTGAAAAATGCTCAGTAAGGTAAATAAAGGGGCAAATAGATAGACTTACCTATTCTTTCACCGTTTTCCGTATACCACAAGCATGGCTGCTTGTTCTTAGCCGCAGAAATTAGTAGATCTCCTTCACGATTGAATCGCACACGAGTGAGAGCACGATCATGACCTTTCAACGATAAAGGTCTCATTTTTGTTACCTAAACAACTTTGTATGGAACTTCTGATTATTAATTTATCATCAAATTAATACAGCTCAAAGGACGCTCAAGAACTAAGGTAATGGAACGACCTAAATTCCACTCCACTTTATCGATCCCAAATTGTCATAGTTCCTACTCATAGTGATCCAGTTTGATATTTTTAAATAGAAGAAAGATCTAAGAACAGTATGCAAGTGGAGGACTCACTGTGGTGAATGAATCGAGGAGACAAGTAAAAGAATGCGATGTTGCGTGAACACTTTTTCAACAGCGTGTAATTGCAGATTCTTCGTAGTCACCGTATTGCAACGGCTATTTTTATTCGGGTTTGTGAGCAAAGCGTGCACATATAGTTGCGTCAAGCGATTATCCTAATCCTGCATCTGAGCGCTGTGGTTCATAAGCAGATGGCGAACAGTCTGAAGTGTCTTGCCAGGCCACCATTGCTAATACTTACTTATGTTTTGCATCCATCTTGGGGCTTTACTTCGCTTCCATCATTTTTTCACTACGGTCTTAGGGCTCATTATTGACTTGTTTCGCCTCCGACAACTACGACATAGACTATGTTTTAAATTTCAACACACTAGCAGTTCGTCTGTGTTGGTACGGAAAGTTGTAATAGAGACTTTCGTCGTACTCGAAAGATGAAGGTGCGAAAATTCATGCGCCCTGCTGAACAGCCTTTCTTTTCGCTCATTATTTTCCGTTCTTTCGGAAGATAGCTGAAAATTGATTCGCTTCCAACCAATAGTAGATGGTTTTTCAATACGCTTCCTGTTGATCTCTAACAGATATTAATCAATATTTATTTACTTATTTTTACAAAAAAGATCCACTTCCGCGAGTACGGAAGATTTTAGGATGCCGTGTTAGTTCCATGATGGTCCAGGTACACGAGCAGGCGAGGAGTCCGTCATCAGTCGGTTTCGTAGCAGGAGGTTCCTTACGGTTCTCGTTTTGGGGTTCACTTGCCTTTGTTTCTGGAAAAACAATAATAATGACATAATATAAATAATTTGTGTATGATTATATAATATGCACAGATACATGAACATTAGATAGAAATGTAGCCCTTCGTGGTTGAGATGTAACCGAATAATTATGTAATTACATACCGGCGATGACTCCACGTACTGGACATGTGCTTCAACACCATTTTTCACTGATTCCAGGGGGTACAGGGAATTGGCAGATGGAATATTAGCTGTAGCAAGCTTCAAGTGCTCTAAAATTTTGTCCAGTTTCTTCAGAGAATCAAGGGAGCCACTATCGGCTAGATACTTTGCTTCCGCTTCAAGTGTTGCCCATGTCTAGAATGTTGACGATTTTTTAGAAAGATGGACGGAGTCAAATGAACGAATACTTACGTTCATAATTTCATTTAATTTCCGCTGTCCCTGCTCTCTATGGTCCTCATAGATGTCACCAGCAATAGAAGTTGGGCTCATTTTCATGGATGATCTATCATTACTACGATAACGGGGAGTTATTTTATGTCTTTTTTTCAAATTAAAGAGATCGCTTCTGGAAACAAAAGATAGGCGAGTTTTTAGTTCGCGATTTTCCTCGCGTACCCGTCGGATAATATGGCTAACGGGATAATCTGAAAACGGTGACAATATTAATATTTACATTGAAGCAGAAGCAAACTTATGCTTATCATTCCATACCTTCGAGTAAGGTTTTCAGATACTCCTGTTGATCCGCGGATAAGTGCAACAAGGCTGGGTCTAACTCATGGCCAACATGACCGAAGCATCCTTTCGCTGTTACTTTACCATCTTTACGATATTCCACATTCAAGAAACATGAACAGTAAGGATTTTCTTTTCGACTCGTTCGAACCCTTACTTTTGCTGTGTTCCGATTCTGTCCCGCTCGGTTACACCTGAATAAAAAGATAGGTATTTGGGAGATCTGAAGGTAGAGAAGGAAGACGGGCAATTCTATCGGTCGGGGTCAGTTACCTTACAACACTTCGGACCTTTTCACTGGCTTACTACAGCAACTTTCAGGTTAAAAAAAAACCAAAAACGTGTCTTATTTGTTGTCGTTCAATGCGCGCTGCCTGGTATAATGACCTCCTGAGAATGGCTAATGAAGAAGAGCATTTCTCAGAGCACAATCCGAGTGAAGAGCTTCAATTCGATAGGAAGCCAAATAGGAATTGATACATGGAAAACTTGAGTTCAAAAAGCGAACCATAAGGCTCTTTGACAGTATCTGCTAAATGGCATTCAGAGGATCGCACTCATCTTTCTTGTATACCTATTTAATCAGTGATGCCACCAACGTGTTCGACGCCTTCGACCGATACAACTGCACATCACTCATAGCGTTACCGCAGCCTTATTTTCCTCCCTGATTTCGTGTCATCCTTCGATCTTT